CAGGATAAATTTCGAGTTAAACAAGGGACGTGAAACATAAAGCTCCCAACTAACATTTGTTCTGGACCCAGTATTTCAGTTTAATAAAAAAGAGAACATGCTCAGACAAATACTGATAAATACTGATAATGACATTTTCCATCTGAGAGAAGGTGGATAATGTCAAAGAGTCACTGTTGTGCCAGGTCTGCTAAAACCTGATGCATCCTACTCACAGGTATGAGGCACACAGAAACAGTGCTTGTGTCCTTTCAATGATGAGAATGACTTTTCCACCCTTCACTCATCATTGTTCCAAGAAGTAATGCAAGTTTTCCCCCTTGCCCAAGAATGCCCACTCTGGCTAAAATATTAATGATTTCAGACTTGCAGACATCTGGTCTTCTCCACATCCCACAGAATCGTATTTCTTGATTGGAATCTTGAGAAAACCTATCCAGATAAAGTTAAGACTTCAAGCCAAGGCTTAAGAAAGTGATATCTGCAGGAAGCCTAAATAAATAGCTTCAAATAGACATGTAACTTTTAATTGACTGCAGTAAAAATGAATCTCATCCTAAATTCTCAATCCCTCACCAGGAACAGTCATGCAGCCCCCAGAGACCTATTAAGGTGCAATGAGGTCCTTGAAACCTGGTACCTTGGCATCTCCCCCCAGGAGCTCAGGGCTCCACAGTTTTCAAGGATGAGGAACCTGCCTGCCACTCCCCTGCACCGAGAAGGTCAGCACTCCTCCCCTACTTTCTTATTCCCCCAAACCGTTTTGAGGTCAAAAGCAGAGCAGGGGACACCACCCTAGTTTGAGTCTGGGGCGAATGCACAGAGCATGAGCCATTTTCCCCTTTGCAGACTTGCTCTGCCAACCTACTTGGCATGATACCTCTCCAAGCAGGGAAAGCCTTTCACTGCCAGCAGCTGAGTCAGCTTTTCTATCATTCACACATTTTGCAAACAGATGAAGATTTTCTTCACCGTCTTTTCCATTTGAAAATTTTTCACAAAATCATTTTATATATGCAGTGCCTGTGAAAAGATTTTGTTGCATGTGTTAAAAATTTGGAATTCCAGCTCTTGCAATAGCATATCCTGCACACTGCATTTTCCTACCTTGATTGGAGCAGTATGACTGTGAATTGTATTATCCTTGACAAGGGCCAAGTCAGAATCTGTTTCCTGCCAATAATTGACAGTGTGAACTGGAAATTCACTATTTTGTTGGAGCAAATTGGTTTACAGGTGTATTGCTGGTTTTCAAACCCTCCGGTAATGAGGAACATATTAAACATCTAGACTGATTTATAGGAAACGAACCCAGAACAGGTGCTGCTACCTCAGCCCGGGTTTATTTGCTAACAGAATATTAATAGAAATGTTTTATACCAAACTTGAACATCATATATGACAGGATAGCTCAGTCCATCTTTCACTACACAAATGGTTTTTCTTATGAAGCAATTTCTATGTTTCAGGCTGAACTCTTTGTTTTCTGGAAAGAAAAAAAAAATCAATTTGGGGGCTCCAATAGCTAGTAGACATTTTTATGATAGCTACAATGCAAGTATGTATTCAGAGAGATTTTTCAACCCTACTGGAGTAGCAGTAAACAACTTCTTTACTGCCTGATAATGCAGAGATGCTTACTTTCATCAAAATAAATCTTGAACAGGTTTCAGTACTCCTCTGAAATGAGAGGTTCAGGGACTGGGACAGGAAGACCTTGGAAGGGAATGATACTTTATTGATTTACTTAGGTAACTATTTTCTTGGCAGTACTTAGCATAGGTGCAAAACACCTATTATGTGCTGACTGTAATTTTTTATAGCCTTCATTTAAAATGATGGAGTGGTTATTCCATGCTTGGTAAGACTTTGTATGTTTTCAAAGAACACAAGCCTGCTTCCCAAAGTCCACACAAGCCCGGTGAGCATTCAGACACAGACTTTCTGCTGTCTTTCAGAATGCCTTGCGTTTGAGGTTTTATCTCTACACACTTCAAAAAGCACCTACCCCATTAGTTTGTCCACATGAAAAGATGTCTCCATTACACTCACTACATTTACAATTAGGAGTAATAATATATCCTCTGCGTTATAGTCAGTACAAAACAATTTCTTCCATTTTTCTTCACACAGTTGATACAGGCTCCACTTATTCTCTTTTAAAATCACAATAAATCACAAAGACGGGACTTGGGAAGTGGCAAACTGAATCCACCCCCTGCAAGTCTTTTCCATTGGTACAAAAGGAGCATCATTTGTACAAAAGGAAAACCATGAGTTGACACCTCCTGAAGTTGAGGGCAGTCTCGGATTGTGCCACAGGAGCAAGAGGAAACCAGGATGCATTTTTTATTTCCCAGGACTTTGAATATTCCCCTGCCTGTACCAGAAGAATGCTGTAGTACAATTGAAGTAAACAAATCCAAGGGATACAAAGATCCCTCCCTTGTAAAAAAGGGCCGATCACCCCACCTCAGGGCTCTGTCTGAAGTCCAGGCTCAACATTCAAATTTTA